TATCCAATCAAAACATGTTTAAACATGGCTCTATGATCAGTGGATGGCTACAGACAGGTTCTGTCAATAATACACTTGTCTCTGTCTTGTTAGGTTATCTTTAAATCAAAGGGTACATTTTGTGTTAGGAAATAAAATGATTTTTTGAGGTCAGGGCTAATATCAATTCTGATGGGATACCACGTGCTGGCCCCAAGACTATTTTTGGTAATCCCAGTGGATTTAGTTGTTTTGTTCCGCTTGATGTTCTGTTTCACACCCTTAGTGTTTTGCCTCAGTGTGGTGGGGTCAGATCTGGTGCAATTCTCACACTGTGTCTCCAGTGTTGTCCCCATAGTGCTATGGGTCAGTGAGAGATGTTGTGTCTCATAGTGGGGCCAGTCCTATGGTCCTCTCTGTGCTTTGGCTGTTCTGAGCATGAATATCATCCCCAGGGCTTGGTGGACCAGGATGTATTCCACTCTCTCTTCCTCCCCCTTCATTTGCTCCCATGTGCTCTGATCAGACCTGTCCCTCTCCCTGAGCTGTAGCTTCAGTGCTGTCTTTTGAAGTGAATTCTTCTGCAGAGAGGGGGGATTGTCCATGTAGTCCGGCCCCTCAACCCTCTTTATTGGGTCCCTGCTTCATGCCAGTATGTTGCATTCGTGTCTTGGAGCACCGGGTTGAAGTCTGGTCCCTCTTTCCCTATGGAGATATAAACAGGCTTTTCTAGTGTGTTTTTTTGTTCATTGGTGCTTTGTTGTTGTTTTGTTTTCTTTTGTTGCTTTGTTTTGCTCTGTCTTGTTTGTTTGTGCATATTATTATCTCTACAGGTCTATCTAGATAAGATAGGCGGGATAAACAATCTGGAGGAGAAAACAAGGGGACTGAAGGTTCTGGGGGCATATGAGAGAAAGGAAATGGGTGATAACAAACACAGGGACAAGGGAACAACTGATCCAAAATCAATGGCAAGCAGGGTGTAAGAGGCCTGGTAGGGCTTGATCAAGGGCAATGTAACCACAAGAAATTACTGAAACCCGAATGAAGGCTAAACATGATAGTGGGTCAAGAGGAAAATAAAAGGAAATAGGTGAAAGAACTAGGAGGCAAAGGGCATTTATAGAGGTCTAAATACAGGCACGTACATATGTAAATATATTTATATATGATGATGGGGAAATAGATCTATGTGCATATATTTATAGGTTTAGTATTGAGGTAGCAGATGGACATTTGGCCTCTATCAAGCACTCCCTCAATGCAAGAACACTTTGTTCTATTAACCTGGCATTCCATGATACTCACCTTCCTGACACGATCACTGAAGACAAATGGGTGCATAAGCAAATATGGTGAAGAAAGTTGATGGTGCCTGGCTATCAAAAGATATAGCATCTGGGGTCTTAAAGGCTTCAAGATAAAAAAGTGCTATCTAGCTGAGAAGCAACAAAGCCCACATGGAAGAAGCACACCAGCCTATGTGATCACAAGATGTCAATAGGATCAGGTATCAGACATCAAAGAACAAATAATCATGTCATTGTGAATGAGGGGGAGTGCAGAGTGGAGACCCAAAGCCCATCTGTAGGCAACAGGACATCCCCTTACAGAAGGGCCATGGGGAGGAGACAAGCCAGTCAGGGTTCAGTATAGCAACGATGAAACATACAATTTTTCTATAGTTCTTTAATGCATCCTCCCCACCCTCACCCCCACTCTCATGATCTCAATTCTATCGTACAAATCCGGCTAGATCAGAGTATGTACACTGGTACAGGTAAGAGCTGGAAACACAGAGAAGCCAAGACAGATAAACCCCTCAGGACCAATAATGAGAGTAGCGATACCAGGAAGAGAAGGGGAATGTGGGGGAGAAAAGGGGAACTGATCACAAAAATCTACATAGAATCCCCTCCCTGGGGGACGGGCAACCAAAAAGTGGTTGAAAGGAGACATCAGACAATGTAAGACATGAAAAAATAATAATTTATAAATTATCAAGGGTTCATGAGGGAGGGAAGGAGGGTTGGGGAGGGAGGGGGAAAATGAAGAACTGGTACCAAGGGTTCAAGTAGAAAGAAAATGTTTTGAGAATGATGATGGCAACAAAAGTACAAATGTGCTTGACACGATGGATATGGATTATGATAAGAGTTGTATGAGCATCCAATAAAATGATTTTTTAAGGTAAAAAGAAACAACTAGTGAGTTTGAACTGCCAACCTTGCCATTAGCAGCCCAACATGTAACCCACAGTACCACTAAGGATACAGCACTATAGAAGATTTACTTATCTTCTGTTCCTGTTTTTCCTTCACTGCCATGGTGTCAATTCTAACTCATAGCAGTCTTATAAGACAAGGTCGAGCCTCCCTTGTGGATTTCTGAGACTGTATCTTTTAATGGGAACAGAAAGCTTCGTCCTTCTCTCCCGGAGCCTCTGGTGGTTTCAAACTGCTCACCTTACAGTTAGCAGCTCAACGTATAACCCACTACACCACCAGTGCTCCTAATTTTAGGGATCAAAAATACTAGAAGACCCAGAGGCATAGAGGTCTACTTACTTGGCAGCTGACCATACTTGGTGTGATTTTTTGGGGACTCACTGTCTCTTTTTAATTGTTGAACACAGGCTAGTGCCTGCTCATTCGATGATTTTTCTACTATCTGTTTCATGAGCCAGGCAGATTTTGCCATGATGCTGTGGGAACACGAGCGAGCCAAAGTCGATGTCGTTCTTATCACCATGCAGGTTCTAGACTAGGAAGACAAAGGTCAATGTGAATATCATCCTCCAAAATGTTTAATCACAAGTGAGTGCTAGAAAGAGAAAGTTATAAAGTGTCTTGTGTGCCTGAGGGGTTTGACTTAGGGAAGTTTCCTGAAGAAGTAAGTGGTGTGGATCCTGAGACCGTGCAAAGAAGGGGCAAGACATTGTTTTCAGGTGGAATGAATGCTGCGTGCTACGTGGCAGGAAGAGCAATCACAAGGGCCAGACAGAGGTCTGGCGGGAGACCCAGTGAGAGGAGCGAGGGAAAAGGGCTGGCAAGGAGAGGAGCCCTATGGAGCCTTGGGTATGGGGTGCTGTTAGTCCCTTTTCCCAATGCTTGAGGTCCTTGAGTAATTTGCCCAGAGTTTCACAAGTTAGGTGGTGGAGTTAGGAATTAACTCTGGTAGAAAAAAATGCTGTTGTCTGCTGTGGCCCAGGCAGGGTTCGCCATGAATAAAATTATCTGACTGCCATTGAGTTCATTCTACTTCATAGCGACTCTATACAGGGTTTCTGAGGCTGTAAATCTTTTCCAGAGCAGTTAGTCTCAACTTTTTCCAGCACCACAGCTGGTGGATTTGAACCACCAGCCTTGTGGTTAGCAGTTCTAAGCTTACTTGACATCAGGGGTCTCCTGACACAGAAGATTTCAAAAAGTTTGCGGAAAAATGGAAATAAAAGATAACAGAATTTTTCCACATACTTTTTGAAACCCCATTGTATATCCTGGTCCTGATTCCCAGAACCTGAGAATATGTTAGTTTACATGACAGAAAAGAACTGAAGGAATTAAGGTTGCTGCTAATCAGCTATCCTTAAAATAAAGGGATTGTCCTGGATTATCAAGATGGTCTCAATGTGATTATAAAGATCCTTCAATGTGGAAGAGGAGCCAGAAAAAAAGTCAGAAAGATATAAGGTAAGGTCTTAACCTGCTACTGTTGACTTTGAAGATGGTGGACAGGATCCTGAACCAAGGAAAGTAGGCGTCTACAGTCACATCGGACCTCCATGTTGCTACTTTCCTTGGTTCATGAGTTCGCTAACTTATTGAGACAGCAGCCATTCCTTCCACTGTACGCTACCTCTCTACTGAGTTCTATAATCTGTCGCAATGGCCACACAGAACTCACAGACCATACTCACAATGATGAAGACCTATTAGGGAAGCTTAATATGTTACCACAAATCAGGATGATAAAACATTAAGAATATAATCTTTGGTTCACTGCAGCATCTCTTCTTAGCCAACCAGAGAGAGGTCTCTCTCTGTGTGGTCCTCCGCCTCTTGCCTATATGGCTCGTTGGCCTCTGCCTTGTTCTGTGGGCCTGTAAACCCAACCCCTACAGTGCCTCACAGCCTCATGGTCTCTGCGCTCAGCTCTGCAGCGTCTCTGCTCTGATGCATGACATGGCCTTGGCTGCCTCTGCCACTTCTGGCAGGGACCTCTAACATGCTCTGCTGGTGGCTCTTCTTGCTTGATAGTCCTGGGAATTCTCTCCTGTTTCGTAGGTGCCTCATTCTTATCCATACTACTCCCTCTATTAGTGCTTTACCCGCCCTGTTTGCATGACACCACCCAATCACTGGATGGGAGTTACAAAGGTATGGGAAGAAGAGCCATTCTGAGCAACTTCATTCATTAGAGAGCTTGTGGAAGCTGGAAAGAGCCAGGAGACATTCTCTCCTAGAACCTGTAGCGAGGACTGTAGCCCTGCTGACACCTTGAGTTTATCTGGAAGAGGTCCAGTTAGACCTCTGGACTACAGAACTGTTTGTTATTTTAAGTTGCTACATTTGCAGTTATTTGTTACAGCAGCAATAGGAAACTAATACAGAACCTAAGCCTAATTGGCTCCAGAGTACCTATTTCTGGCCTTTGTGCTGGGCCTCCACAGTCGATGCTCTAAACTAGGAACTGTAAAGATTCAATTCTAGTCCTTAATATCATTTTGAGTGTAAGCTTCTTCAAATATCATTTCCAAGGCATGTAGTCAAGGGTATATAGATATTTTTACATATGGCTCTTTTGTGAATTTTTGAAAGGATGTGGTTATAGCCTTTGATATCAGAGGGGAGCTCTGTAATGCTGACTGAACCTTGATCGAAAGATAATGTTGGAGGCAGTTGCCTTTGAAAACCTCTAAAGATCAACCGCCTCTCCATCGCGTTCCTTGCCCAGAAGTTCTTTCCTTTGGCTGAGTTAAGGGTGATGCCGAAGGAGCATCACTCTTCAGGAATTGGATCATGAACAACTCTATCCTCCTGGAAGAACAGCTCATCAAGAAATCCCAACAAAAGAGAAGAACTTCTCCCTCAAACTTTAAAGTCCGCTTCTTTGTTTTGACCAAAACCAACCTGGCATACTTTGAGGACCGGCACGGGGTATGTGAGCACTTTGTTTCTGTCTTTCTTTGAGCAGTACTGGGTCTGGGGTGACTTATGAAGATGGACAGGGAATACATAGAAAACGGAGAACACAGACACACTCGTTGTAACACGCTAAAGAAGCGTGACGAGGAGGGAATGTGGACGGCAGGTGGTTGTACTAAATGATTTTGGTTCTAAAAACCATAGAACTATACATTCAATAGTCATCAGCTTTATTTCCTGAAAGGATGAGTTTCATTTTGAAACCATAATGTTATACATAGCAAATGTTTTAATTGGCTAGGACTTGAACTTCATTAGAAATATACTATCTGCGATGGGACTTAGATTAAAAGAACATTAGCATCTGGTGGAACCTGAGAAATGATGTAGCCCATATTCTTTATTTTACATAGAGAAAACTGGTACCTGGATGGGCCTGCAATGGGCCCTGAGGTTCGGAGTCTTTGAGTGATTAATTTGCCCACAATCTCCTAGCTTGTTAGTCAGACAAATTTCAAATTCTAGTAGATAGAATTGGCATTTTCATTAATCCAACTCATTTCTCTAACATCTGTCATCATTCACCTGACCTTTTGGAATAATGTCCCCTGAGCACTTAATTGCTGAAAGTGTTGCCCAGCGTTTGCAAAGGACAGTGGTAAACCCCTGAAAAGACTCTTGGAAAACTTCTCAGAAAATTAGTATTACCAATCAAAAAGTGAGGTGTAGTACAAACCTGTGGTTCTTCTCTATAAGACAACCATTGCTTACTTAGCTAAGTCCATTTTTTTCTGTACTTAAAGATATTCTCATAGTCCAAAACATCAGGTGAAATAATACTGCTTTTTTGGGGGGATGAGTCTTGCTTGTCTCCTATCACAAAAGCAGACTCTCACTGATAACAACCAGTCCATCGAAAAACACGTGGTAATTACTGATTATGTTTAAATCCCTTTTGATATGTGCTCTATAAATATTTGTGGGCTAATAGAGAGCCAATAGCCACGTTTTGAATCTATAAGCAACACAAAGCAAATCCACGGCCATCAAGTCAATTCTAACTCACAGTGACATGATAAGACTGAGTAGAAATGTCCCGTGGGGTTTTCAAGGCTGTAAATTTTTATAAAAGCAGGTTGCAACATGTTTCTTCCCTGGAGTGGCTGATGGGTTCAAACGAATGACCTTTTGGTTAGCTGCTGACCACGCTAGCCACTGCACCACGTGAGCCCTGTAATACTGAATACTTTCACTGCGGCTCAGGTGATGGAGCGTGGCATCAGTCAATTCTTTTCTTATTGTGAATAGAACATGTAAAGTTCTTGTTCCATATTGAGAGCTGTTACTTGCCTTTAAATAGTCTTCCTGAACATCTGTTTTACAGTTTTTACCAGTTTCCTTCCACCCCGCACCTTGACTCCACATAGCACCTTCTCATTTAGCTAGTCTGAAGCTGTTACTAATCCTTGCGCAGTGTGGCTGCCTATGAAGTGCTCTGTTGTACACTAAGTACAGTGTCATTTCTAAATAATTCATACTCAATGGTCTGAGTTCAGAATATTTTTAGCTATAATTTTCTTTAGACAATGTTGTAAAATCATTCTGCTCCATTGGAGCATTATGAAAAATTTCAATATTATTCATGCTTCATGTGGGCTAACTCTAGCCAAAAAGAGTTACTGTCTCCATTCAGGATACAGAAAATAGATGTAACATAGTTAACAACTCAAGTTTGTTTTTTTTGCTTAGTGCCTACATAACTATTTTTAAAGTATTTTTTTAACTATTACAGAAGTTTATTATTTAGAAATTTATCCAAAGTTGCTGATGCAATTAAAATTAGAGTTAGTACTATTAAAATCCTATTCATCTTCTGTTGTTTAGGATCCTTGATTTGCGTATATAATTGTATTGTACATCATCATCATCAAGAAAAATAGTATTATATTTGAGGAGACCCTTTTTATTTGTCAATTAAAACCTGTCTTCTTATCTGTAAAATGAGTAATAATACTCATTTACCTGACAAAAATCAAAGGGACATCAGTGTATTTAGGGTGAACTATTTTAAATTACCATTTGGCAGATAAAATTTGGTTTGATATTGGTGATTTGATATAATTCAATGTGATAAAATAAAGTCCATTCTTATCATTTGTAGTAATTCTATGGTCAATTATAACTCAACTCTGAACGAAGCTTATCTGACATAGACATTTTCTCCAGAAGGCACCTCACAGCCTGCTTGCATTTAGAACTGCTAGCTGCCCTTGCAGCAGTACGCTGAGGGCCATTTTAAACAGGGAGGGAGGAGAGCACAGGACACCGAGGGGGCATTGAGTGTGCCCTGAGGTGAACACTTGTCACCAGTAGGAGAGCTGGAACCAGAGGCAGCACATAACTTTATTTAACGTCAGCTGAGACGGTGTGTTGGTCAACTCACATTGTTCCCCGCGTGCTCTCTGCAAAAGCTCAACAAGTATTGATTTGGGGTTACGAATAAATTATAGCAAACAGGGAAAATTTTCAAATATCGGCTAGAGGAATAATGAGGACTGACTGTGGAAAGCATACGTTCCTCACCAAGTAAGGGGGAGCCATAGTTTGTAACGTCTCTGAAGGAACTTGCAGCAGTCTGGTGTGACATACTCATTTTCAAAGGAAGGCAAATATTTAAGCAATCATTCAAAATCTAGCTAAAGTCAGGGCCCTGGATTCCTTCTATTCTGTGGCAAAATTCGACGGGGTGGGGAGTCATGAAGGTGCATCTCGAGCTGTAGAAAGCCGGCCTGCCGAGGGGGTCTCAGCTACTTTTTCTCCATCTCCGTCGGCAATTGTTTTCCTTGTGATTGTCACATTCTGTGATTTTGTGATATAATACAGGGTCCCTATGAATCAACTCATTGGCAGTGGAGCTTTTTCATATGAAAATTAAAATCCTTCTCCACACCACTCAACAAATTCCAGAATTCTGCAAATTAAATACTTTTTTCTAATTTTTAATATCCACGACTAATGTCATGATAATGTTGATTGAAGGAGCCTCTTATTTTAGCATGGATTTTGTGTTGTGTAAGGTGGATGCCTGTTTCCCCTATTGAGATGTACAAGGGTTTTTAGTGGACCACACTGGCCAGCACATCCTGTCATCCTACTGGACCAAGGGGGCAAAATCATTGGTCGAAGAACCAAAAAGGAGCACAGTGGGCAGGTGGCAGGCTTGCAGGTGGGCGAGACTTCAGGTGCTCCCCTGCGTTTGCCAAATTTGTCACAATATGGTCTCTGATGGCCACAGGGATTGAACAGAAGACAGTGAGGTAAAAACCCTGGGGTGTGCTGGGACATACTTAACAACCTCTGTGGAGATGGAGAAGGGGAGGGTTGGGAGCCCTTATCCACATGCTTCCCTGGAGTAAATAGTCTTACCTTGGCTGTTTCAAAGACCGAATGTGACATCTACTGGCTCACAACATTCCTGAAAACTTAGCACTTGGCTCCTTTATAAGCTCCAGACCCAACTCACCACTAGCAACTTAAATGCAAATAACCCCTGGAAGGGTCATCGCCGACTGAAAGATATATAGATTGTCCCTGACTTACCACCAGGTTTCCTCCCAACAACTGCTGAGTCAAAAGGCAGTTCAGACTTAAGTTGTATATCTCCCTGCACTGTATGGCTCAGGTTCAAAAGTTCGTTTTCATGATCAGACCAAGAACTCATTGTCACCAAGTCAATTCCAACTTATAGCAAACGTGTAGGACAGGGTAGAACTGCCCCTGTGAATTTCCAAAATGGTAATTCTTTATGGGCGTAGAAAGCCCCGTATTTCTTCCTCAGAGCATCTGCTGGTTTCAAACTGCCAACCTTGTAGTTAGTAGCCCAATGTATAACTACTACACCACCAAGGCTCCTTCCATCACCATAGTCTTTTCTTATCAGTATCTTTATGAATAGAATATGTATTTGCCCTTGGGCATTGCCATTAGCAAATTGTACACTGCAACACTGTATGTAATACATCTCAGTAATGATATTTTTAAAGAATGGATGGTTTGAAGTATAGTTTGCTGTAACTCGAATACATTGTAAGTCAGGGACTGCATGTACTCGATGAGTACACAATTACACCAGATTCTGTTCAGAGAGAAACAGAGACCCCTGGCTATTACATAAGCCTGGGAATATAGAGGCAGCCGAGGGGGAGACGAGCATCGTGGCCTGCTGAGGCCAGTGTAGCCAACTAGAGCTGGGTTCAAATCCGGCTACTTTGTTAAGATCAGGCAAGATACCAAACCTCCTTGGACTCTGTTTTCTATTTGTAAAGACTAGCACCAGTGCCACATTATCTCAAGGAATGTTGAGTATTTCTTGAGAAAGTTTGACACCAAGTACTTCTTGGTAAGCCCATTATTAGGAGCCCTGGTACCACCGTGGATTAAATGTTGGATTGCCAAAAGTCCAGCCGCTCAACCCAGGAACTGCGCTGAGAAAGATGAGGACATTGGCTTCTGTAAAGCTTTTACAACAGTGGAAACCCTAGGGATCAGCTGGGTTGCTACCTGCCAGGTTAGCAGTTCGAAACTACCAGCTTTCTATGCCTGTGAAGAGCCGCTGTCTCAGAAACCCAGAGGGGCACTTCCACTCTGTCCTATAGGGTCACCATGAGGTGCAATCCCCTAGATGGCAGTGAGTTTGTTTTGTTTACTGAGTTGAAGTCAACCACTTGATGCCAGTGGGTTTGGGGTTAGTTTGGGTAGGACCGTCATTTGAGTCCCTGAGGAGGACAATCAGTTAAGGTGCTTGACCACTAATCAAAAGATTGATGACAGAACAACTGTTCTCAACCTCTGTCTGGGTCGTGACCACTTGGGGGTCGAACGATCCTCTCAGAGGGGTCGCCCGATTCATAGCAGTAGCAAAATTACAGTTATGAAATAGCATCTAAAGTAATTTTATGGTTGGGGGGTCACCATGACATGAGGGACTGTGTGAAAGGGTCACGGCACGAGGA